TACAAATACAGTATTAAAATAAAAGATGTAAGAATAATGAAAAAGTAATGAAAAATAACAATAATATAAATATGTAGTAATGTAGTTTCTCTGCTATAGCAAAGTGAAATTTGCTACTCTCTTTCTCTGCTGTTGGGATGCCCCCTCTTTGGATCCAACTCTGGTCTTTTTGCTGTTCCAAGTTTTTTGTCTCCCTTGTGGGGCGAAGAAAAAAACAAAACCCCAAAAAAGTAGCAGAAGTGTGGGAAAAGCAGTAAGTTTGGAAAGAAAGTAAGAAGGAGTAAAACAAGAAAGAAGGAAAGAAGAAGAAAGTACTGAAAGATAAAACAATAATAAAGGTAAAAAAGTGAAAGGTTACTTTAAAAAAAAAAGCAAAGAAAACAAACCACCTCTTGTTGGTTTCCAGTCGGTCAAACTTTTTTCTGTTCTCACTGGGTGCAACAGGCTGAGGGGCAATTGGTGTGGCCTGTCTCCCTTCTGGGTATACTCAGTGAGTCTCAGGAGCACTCTCCCAAGATCCAGACCAGCACTTCTCCCCAGCACCCCACCGAGGGAATCCAGTTCCTTTTTTAGGGCACTTTTTTTTTCTGGGAGTCACCACTAGGGGCCGGGGTGTGGGTGTAGGCCTCTGCCAGGCTTCCCTGGTCCCTCAGGCTTGGGGGGGAACCTTTCCCAGTGCTACGGTGAAAGCAAGGACGACTCTCAATTGTCCCAAGCCTGGGACCACAGACTCCACAGGTGATCCAAGGCCCCCTTGTTTGCTTCCTTGTGTCCATTCCTCTCTCTGACATTTCAAGCAAACAGGTCTCTCCCGGTATGTTTGAAACTGGTCCTGTCCGGGCAGGGAGGGAGCTGATGACCCTGCTCTTTCCCAAGGAACTTGCTGCCGCCCCTCGGCTCCCAGAGAGTCCACGGCAGACCCGCCCCTGGCCCTTGGCTCCCGGTGCTGCAGAGGGCAGCCTTGGCCTGCGCGGCCTCTGCCCTCGTCCCTCGGACCTTATTGACCTGCAGCCATCTCCTCACCGTCTGGTCTTTCAGAGTCCACTACAATTTCTGGACTTCTATTTTCCAATATGCTGGGGCACTGTTGGCTATTTGCTGTGTTCCTCCGCAGATCGGCCAGATTTTTCTCCCATGTTTGGGGGAAAGCGGAATCTTCTTAATGGCCATCTTCCCCATTAGTCATGTCAATGTTGATTTACATGTGTTGATTATTTCTTCTCATTCCAGTTGAGATTTTACCCCCTGCTGTTTGTATGAAGAGTGATTTTAGGTAGTATCCTGGATGTTTTGGGCACTATGGGACTGAGTTACGTTCAGTCTATTTTGTCTCAGGGAGTCACAAAGTCTTGGCCTACATTTGTAGGTTGTGGTTATAATGACAATTTGGTATCCAGAACCTTTGTGGTATTGTTCTGGTCAACTTAACGTGTGTGTAATCCAGAGGCCTAACTGAAAACAATATAGGTAGTTGAGTTTATAAACCTTTTTCTCTTTTAACTTTGGTCATTTTTTCAAATGTGATTCATTATGGCTATATTCTAGGATTTTATTTCAAGAAAACTCAAAAAGGCTGGGAGAACTACATTTAAGAGCTAGAACTATAAAGTGTTTAGAAAAAAATACAAGGATAATTCTTTAAAACCTTGGATTTAACAATTATTTCTTAGATATGACACCAAAAGCACAAGCATCAAAAGAAAAATGTGAATAAATTGAATTTACAAAAATTAAAAAGTTTTGTGTATCTAAGTATGTGATGCAGAAAATGAAAAGAGAACCTACAAAATGGAAGACAGTATTTCCAAGTCTTACACTGATAAGAATCTAGCATCCAGACTATGAAAAGAACTCCTAGAACTCAGTAACAAAGAGATTATTAACCCAGTTTTTAAAGTGGGCAAAGGACTTGATTGGACATGCTTTCATAGATATACAAATGGCCAAAAGCATATAAAAATGCTCAATATCATTAGTTATTATGGAATTGCAAGTGAAAACCTAAATGAAGTACCACTTCATGCCCACTGGGGTGGTTTTGATCAAAAGAGTAGAAAATAACAAATGTTTGTGAAAATATGTAGAATTGAAACCCTCATGCATTGATGGTGGGAATGTAAAATAGGTATAGCTGCTGTAGAAAGGAGTTAAAAAGTTCAGCAGAATTTTCATATGGTTTATCAATATTACTTCTATGATATGCCTTAAAGAATTGAAAGCAGATACTGAAGTAGATACCTGTATATCAGTATTTATGGGAGAATTATTCATAGTACCAAAAAGTGCTATGTCCAACAACTGTCCAAATGTCCAACAGCTGATAAGCAAATTGTGATATGCCATGTAAATGAAATACTATTTACCCATATAAAGGAAATAAGGCATGGGTATGATGGCACAGCATGGGCGAACTTTGGAAACATTGTGCTGAGCAAAAGAAGCCAGATACAGAAGGTCATACGTTGTTCAGTTCCATTTATGTGAAATATACAGAATAGATACCTTTGATTTCTTTTTTTTTGTTTTCTTTTTATTTTAGAGAGGGGAAGGGAGGGAGAAAGTGAGGGAGATGAACATTGATATGAGAAGGAAATACTGATTGGTTGCCTCTTGTATGCACCCTGACTAGGGACCAAAACCCACAACCTAGGTATGTGCCCTAATTGGGAATTGAACTGGCGACCTTTTGCTTTGCAGGATGATGCCCAGCCAACCGAGCCACACCAGTCAGTGCAGAATAGGTAAATTTTACTTACAGCAGTGGTTGCCAGGGCCTGGAGGAAGGGGAAGAGATACTGTTTAATAGATATGGTGTTCTTTCGGTATAATAAAATGTTTTGGAACTAGCTAGACATGATGTTTGTACAGTACCATGAATGTACTAAATGCCACTGAACTCCACACTTTAAAACAGTTAATTTTATATGTGTGAATTTTACCTCAATAAAAAGAAATGGAAAGAAAACTCAGAGAATTCCCTAGCCAGGCTACTGCCTTCTTTGTACCTTTCAAAAATTTTTTTTCTTTAGTGGTTTTTTTTTTTTTTTAACGCTTCACTTGGGTAGAGTATAGGGAGAAATGGGTCTATTCTGTCTTATCTCTAGAAATTAAAATTATCTTAGTAGATTTTTAAACAGGTTACTGCTTGATCTCCATCAATTTAATGAGAATGGGAGGGAGTTGGGGTTGGTAAGTTGCATCAACATAAAAAATATGCACAGGTTATTTGAATAGGAGCCACCATTGTAAAGCACTGTTTGAAGCACATACCCTGTGTTTTTTGCATAAGACACCTAGGTTTTAGAGTAGGGAAAAAAATTTTGAAGCAAAAAATGTAAAATATTTAACATAAATATTTCACCAATGTAAATGTAAACAGAACTCAACAGCCACATTAACAACCATTATTCCTCCCAAGGGGGGGGGTGTCTTCTAGTCCGAAAAATACAGTACTTCCTGCCATTGATGAGTTCTGCAACTCAGTCTGGTTAATAAGACATAAAGTGAAGCTCTTTGTAAGGTAACCTTACAAGGAAGGTTGTTGTTTTAAACATTGTCATGTATGGCTATGAATTTTGAAATTGCCATGATCATCTTGCTTGCAGCCTGCAAATGCAGTCAACACCAGGAATGCAGATAAGAGAGATGGAAAAAAACCATTGTATTAGATTACATCTCTCCTCTGTTGAATTAGCCAGTTCTGGATTCTGTAGTACCTCTGTACTTTCCAATATATGAAAACACAATATATGTCCATATTGTTTCAGCTCTTGAGTTTTGATTCTAACTTGTATTTGGAAGCTATCAAACTGCTATAGCTAATGACAGGAAAAATTGGTGGCAAAATATGCCACTGCTTACATGTTTTTCTAATACTTATATAAATAATACTTCAGTGAACATATTGACATGTATAGCTTTTCCCCCCAATATTGGGTTTTATTTTTCATGCAGGTTAGGATACTGGAAGTGGTCAATACTGTTATTGCTCTTGTTTATTATTTTTAAATTGCTTTCCTAATGATTATGTATATCTATAATATTAGCAGCAATAAGTGTTTACCTTAATTCTTTGAGTTTTATTTTTTGGATGGTTATCATTATAGTTTTCCACCTTGATTTCTTTTATTACTGAACATGTTTATCATTTCTTCATGCTTTTACTTACTAGTTAAATTTTTAAGGGAATTATCTAGTTGGGCCCTTCCACCACAACTTACTAAGTGTGGGACTTAGGGAATTTACTGTTACTCTTACTAAAACAGCAGGATAATAAATAATGTGTACACAATAGAATTGGTATGAGGTTAAAATTTTTCTAAAGTTCTCTGGGTACTTTTATAACTAAAATATTTGTCAGTTTATCAGTTTGCTACAAATAATGTTCACCATTTTTTTTTAAAGATTTTATTTATTTGTCTTTAGAGGGGAAGGGCAAGAGAGAGGGAGAGAAACATCAATGTATGGTTGCCTTTTGTGTGTCCCCTGCTGGGAACTGGCCTGCAGGGAACTGGCCAGTTGGGGCCCTAGGCATGTGCCCTAACTGGGAATCGAACTGTGAGCCTTTGATTCGCAGGCCTGCGCTCAATCCACTGAGCTACACCAGCCAGGGGTAATGTTCACCATTTTTATTTCTTTTTTTGTGGCATTATTTACTTTAGACATACAAGTTCAAATTGAAGACAAATGATATGAATATATATGTTTTAATGTGGCAACAATATAAAATTACAAAAATACCATACTATCCTGAAAACAGAAGGCATTTTCAGTTGCAGGTTTTCCATATATCTTCATATTTTTTATGTAGTCTTTGAATCAGTTTGAGTAAAAGTAAGTCAGACAGTTTTTTTAAATAGTGTGTAACATATCTTCACTCTCAATAGTCATGGGATGGAAACAGCTGCCAATATAATACAAGAGAAGAAAAATCCAAGAGTTTAAAAATCTGAAAGTGTATGTAGCCTATCAGTGTTGATTTCCTTTTATTTTTCCTCTAGAAACATCATCAGGGACAAGTTCTGTTGGATATAGTCTTCAAACATCTTGATTTGACTGAGCGTGACTATTTTGGTTTACAGTTGGCTGATGATTCCACAGATAACCCAGTAAGTTTAAGCTGTTACTTTTCATTTTTATTTTAGGTTTTCCCTTTGTTCATAATATGAAGTTCTTTGTGATTTATAATGTTCACTGTTGTAGTGAGTTTTTAAAAAATTGACAATTGTGGCATGATGAAAGGTGACTTAACTTCCACTGGAAAAAAGAATATATAGATGATGTATTATAGAATTGTACATTTGAAATTTGTATAAATTTATTAACCAGGATCACCCCAATAAAGTTAATTTTTTAAAACTCAAAAACAAGAAAGACAAAAAAATTTTGAATGATCAGAGATTATTCTTTGCCTTTGTTTCTCGTTCTCTTAATGTTTTAATATGTTTCTTCCCTAAGTTTTCTTATATTTATAAGTCAGTCAGACTAGTTCCATTTTCTTTATTTATGTGTCTGAGACAACTAAGAAGTATATCTAATTATGCTTGTTAACTCAGAGAAAATTGGCATAGATTAAAATACAAAATTAATACTAAAATATTGATGTAAAATATTTAAAAATATTACTTGATCTTGAGTCTTATAGATGTTAGCCTGCATTAATAAGATATTTTGTGGAATTCATGAGCTGTTTGTGTGAATTTTACGAATAGGGAGATTCAGTGGAGACACAAATGCAATAGATTATATTTCAGAACTCTGCAGTTCTTGGGCATTATTGAGTTTTTCATATTGTTACGAATTCCTCACTAATTGTAGTAGTGATTCTTTTTATTGGAAAGATCACATCATAGAAATTGAAGTTAGCATGTGATAAATAATAGAAATGTTGCATTCTTTGTAAATTTATATGGTTATACAGTGAGATCTTTTACAAAGAATATGATGGCCTTTTGACTAGTACGGGAGAATGGCTGTTTTGAAGGAATAATTTTTCATAGTTTAAAAAAACTGGGAGGCTAAAAAAATGGTTCTCTGGATCAGTACTTTATACATCCATTTTTGTTTTTTAATTTACATTTATTGATTTTAGATAAAGGGGTGGGGAAGAGAAACATTGATTTGTTGTTCCACTTATTTATTCCTTCACTGGTTGATTCTTGTATATGCCCTGACCAGGGATTGAACCTGCAACCTTGGTGTGTTGGGACAACACTCTAACCAACTAAGCTACCTGGCCAGGGCTGAGAAACCAGTTTATAAGACTATATTGATGGAACGGGTATAGAAAATACAAATAACTCTTATGACTAGGGTCTTCCTCTCTTGCCCCCCCTTCCTCCCTCCCTCTCTTTCCTGTTTCTCTCTTGCTCTCTCAGTCAGGATCCTAGCTCTAGGAAATAAATATGAAATGTTGAATATTATTTATTCTTGGCATAATTTACTGACTTTTTTATTGAAAACCATGAGGATGAGGTGGATAAAACAAAGCAAGGGGCCAGTTAGTCTCAATGGAAACAAACCCATTTGTACTGAACTAAAATATAAACAAACCTTCCTCAAACATTAAAGTCTTTACCAGATGACTTAAGCTTCTCAAAGGGCCTAGAGAAATAGTTTTATTTCTCAATAAGTAAACACATGGGAAAGTAGAAGTGAGAACAAATGTCCGTAGTGAAACTTTTTCCAGAAAGATAAATTGTAAGCCAGGCAAACATCTGAAAGGTGACTGCTAGACCTCAGTATAAGCAGATTTGGGGTAAAAATTGATAATCCTTAAATTATCTTGCTGACACTGATAGGTCAGACTGTTTATTATATAATCCTATCTTTAGATTGCTTGGAGAAGTGACAAGACAATAAATGAAATAGAGACCAGCTACTTACTACCATATTCACTACCATGAGTATGAAACACCATCATTCCTGAGGAAGTATTCTGGAAGGACTGGGATCGCTCACATGTATTATAAGAGATAAAAATTATATCACATAAATTTGTATGCAAGAAGACATTTCTCTTCTAAAACAATTACAGCAGGATAAATGTGGGGAAGCAGAGGTATTTTGAGCTGGATTGATCTTTTTGCTCTCCCCTGCTTGTTGTTCTTTTCTATCTTGAGCATTCCTTCCCAAATAAGATAGATTCCCAGGTCCAAGGATCCAATTGCTAATGATCCAGAATAATTCTTCCCCCAAATAATAGAATTTTAAAGACTCAAAGCCTTAGAGATTATCTTGTCTAACATGTTTATTTTTCATGGAATGTTATCTTAATCCAAGGGGATAAAACATCCAAGCATTAATGAAACTAGATGTGGGTCTCTTACCTCCCCACACGAGTTTTTCCATAGCACTACAATTACAGTATTTAAATATTCAGAAGAATCTATGAAACACCAAAATATGTTCAAGCAAGGACCTTTACACATGTAAGTATTGTCTCATTTCTGGTTGTCAGCATGAAACATATCAAGACTTCTAGGATAAATAATGGACTGAGGGAAATGGAAGTAATTTTTAAAAAGAGCAAGGAGTAAAGGGGTAACTTTTATGAAACATCTACTGTGGATTTATAAGCCAAATTCTCTCAATAATTTTATGAACGTATCATTGAAATTCTTTTGAAGATGAAAAACTGAGACTTACAGACTTGTTAAATGGCACAGATAATTAAGTAGCTGAGAAAGGATTCAAACTCACATCTATCTGACTCAAAATCCTATATGCTCCCTACTGCAAAATGTTGCTTCCAATAGGTGATAATATAGTTGTGCAGGTCTGATAAAAATGAATGTATTGAGGAGAGGAGCTGACCATGCAATAAAATTACCAGCAGTGATCAAAAAGAATTTGGTAATGTTCTGAAAGAATTCTCGTTAATCCTTAGTTCAGAGTTTTTTCATCTTAAAGCTTATGTGTATTATACATATATGTATATAATGTGTATGTTTCATGTGTATATTATACATACTTTTAGAGTATCAGAATTAATATTGCCTTAGAAATAAACATACATTAAAATTAACTTATAATTGATAAACTGAAAGAACCTAGGATGTTATTAAGGTCTCATACATAGGAGATATAGATTCATAGTTGACTATTTTTTTCTTTAGATCCTTCCTCGGTAATGAGTTCCACTGTAAAAAACAAAATTACTTAAAAGCAAAGCTTTGACTTTTTTGAAAATTCTCTTGCTTTCATTTAAAATCTGTCTATCACAGCTTTAGCTTTTTACCATAATGCCTTGTATAATAACAGTACTTAGTAAATGTTTATTGAGTGAGCAAAATAATGAGTAATGTGGTTATAATTTATTATGCACAATTTCTTCAGTTTTTAAGCACATAAAAGTAGCTGTTTCTTTTTTCTTTTTTTAAATTTTATTTATCTTCAGAAGGGAAGGGAAGGAGAGAGGAAGAGAAATATCAATGTATGGTTGCTTCTCGTGTGTTCCCTGCTGGGAACTGGCCCCTGCTAGGAACTGGCCTACAACCCAGGCATGTGCCCTGACTGGGAATCCAACCACGATCTTTTGGTCCACAGGCCCGTGCTCAATCCACTGAGCTACACCAGCCAGGGCTTGTTTCTTTTTTTTTTTTTTTTTAAGATTTTATTTCTTTATTTTCAGAGAAAGGAGAAGGAAAGGAGAAAAAATGGGAGAGAAACATCAGTATGGGATTGCCTCTTACGTGCCCCCTACTGGGGACCTGGCCTGCAACCCAGGCATGTGCTCTGACTGGGGAGTTGAACCAGTGACCCTTTTGTTCACAGGCCAGCACTCAATGCACTGAGCCACACCAGCCAGGGCTAAAAGTGGCTGTTTGTCAGTGGCCTTTATCAACATGATATTTATTAGAGCCTTGAGATTATATGAGAGTATTATTCCTGTGCATTTACTTTTTCTTCCCCCAAAGTGAATTACAGTGCCTTTCAGTAGGATAAAGAGTAAGTTATAATTACTACTGACAAGTTTTTCTGCAGTTTCATTCTGATTGTTTTTGTTGGGGTCATGATGATTTACTACTGTTTCTATATCCTGTAATTCTTGTTGCTTTAAAACTTGAATTTACAATATAATCACCTGAAGGCTTCTTAAAATGCAGATTTCTGGGCCTCTCTGCCTGGAGTTTCTGATTCAGAAAATCTGGTGGGGAACTCAATAATATGCAACAAGCAAATCTCTTTAAAATGATAATGCTGCTAGTCAAGGAACCACATTTTGAAAATCACTGCTTTAACCCAATAGGCTAATTAATGATTAAGACTACTGAAGTAAGAAACAATTTATATAGAACAGCTTGGTTCATCCTTTGAAGATTCCTTTGTACATGACTCTAAGTTCTTGAATTATTTCATCAGGTTTGAGGAAATACAGGAAAAGTCATATAGAGGATGATCGTTTTTCAACAAGTCATGTTTTAATACAACATGGTTGCTAAAATACTTGCTTTTATTTCACATGCCAGTATTTCTTTCATATTCCTTTCATTTATTTCTACTGTAAAACCTTAACTGGGGCTCTTATTACCTATTAGTATAAACCTCTTTGGTTGCTTGCCAAATGTTACATTTTTTACTTTTGGTCTTTTTTAACCTTGTTCTATTTTAGGGGGGAATGACACAGGGATCTGGGGTATAGAGATGTCTTTCAGAGAGAATGGGCAAATGTATAGAATCCCAGAGTGAAAGGAGAGGAATGTTGCATTTGAGGAACTGAAAATATTTTTTCATATTGATGGAATATAGAGCAAGGAGAGAAAATGGATTAAAGATAAGGTTTGAGTAGTATATCAGAACATGAAGTGCCTTTTAATCTATGATAAGATTATAGTCACCTAGGGATTTATTTACATAGATAACATTAGACTTGTATGTATTTTAGACCCCACTCTGGTTACAGTGTAGGCAGTTACAAATAGAGTTACAAACTAGAGATAGTTGCAGTAATGAAGTTACTAGTGTTACCAGAACACAAGCCAACAAGGGTGGTGAATTTGTTGCCTGCCACTTACAGAGAAACCCGAAGTCTGAGGCAGCCGGTTTTCACAGAGAAGTAGGATTCATTCATTAGGGCAGCTAAATGAGGAGACCAGAGACAAAGTTC